GCAAAGTGTTGCTCTCCTGGTCTGCTCCACCCACCATTTGCATTTCCAAACATACTTCAAAACCTTGAAGACTAGTTCCGACCGAGATGATCTGCAAGACCTGCAAGGGAACTTTAAGTTGTAAGGCCCAAATTAAAGTGTCAGAGGACTCTAGATAGACAAAGAGGCCATCTCTCCAGCTTTCCTCAGCTTGAGTCAGCACAAGAGCCCCCCCACCTGCTTTTCCTTGTCTATCTGGAAGGTTTGGAAGGATGAAGAGCCACTACCACACGTATGAGCCAAAAAGTTTGCTTCCCCCCCAAACACCGTTTCTGAGAGTTTTTATACTAGGAGCAAACCGAAGCAGAAAGTGAATTAAGAGGGGGAGAATATATTATCTAATAATACAAGTATATTAGCAACATGCTAAAGTCTGTTTTTTAAAAATGCAAGCAAGAGTCCCCAACCTTGCCCCACTCGACTCAGATCAAAACCAGGTAGTGATTTTTACACATTTTATAACTTGAGGTTCCCAGCATACCCCTCGCACAATACCTGACTTCTTTGTGTTACCAATTTCGAAAGCCTTCAGCAGATACTCTTTTCCTTACCTGGAAAGGGAGGAGACAGACATCGTTTTTGGCCAGGTTCTCACAAGCCTTCCACATTGTGCCACGTGGAATCTCCAGATCCACACACAGCATGTGGATCCCCAGACACCTGGCTTTGCGTGGGCCGGCTCTTCTGTGTAGAATACTCTTGGTTCCTCGTCTTGGCCTGGAAACTTCCTTCAGTTCCCACTTAAACATTCCTTCCACTGTGCAATTTCTTTCCTAGGCCGACCCAGTGCTTGCTTCCTTTTTGTTCCCACCTCCCACCAGACAGTGGGAGGACACAAGGGTCAGCAAACTAAGGCTTGTAACGCCTGTTTTCCTGTAGCTTCCAAGCCAGGACTGGTTTTTACATTTGTTAAATGCTTAGGGGTAGAAAAAATGTCATGACACATGAAAGTCATATTAAATTCAAATTTTAGTGTCCATAAATAAAGTTTTATTGGAACATAGCCTCATCCAGTCGTACACTTTGCCCACGGCTGCTTTCTCTACCATGTAGAGTTGAATAGTTCCCATGGAGACCAGATGATGGCAAAAACTAAAATATTTACTATCGGACCCTTCACAGAAAGTTTGCCAACCCCCGACCTAAAAGGCTAAAACTGCCTTTTATTTTTGCATACTAAATGCTAGAATCATAGCAAACTCTAAATGTGAAAAAAAAAGTTACTACCACACAGCTAAGAATTAATCAAAATGAGTTGCCTTGTTTCTAAAGAATCAGTGATTAAACCAGTATCTTTCTTTTGGCAGGGGTCATAGACCATTTAAGATGCTGCTCTGTATTCTGGTTAAAGTGTCACTAAGCTTCTAAATTTCAATATAATTTTAACTCAAATAATAATTATTGTTTGCTTTTTGAATTATTTATGTTGACTCAGTTCACTGCTGTCCCCTACAGGCGAGCGCTGAGCAGGGAGAGAAGCTAACTGGTACAGAAAAATTAGCCCTTCACTTCTCCAGGGGATGACGGAGTCCATTGTAATGTGTAGGGGAACACCCCAAAGTTACCAGAGGGCAAAATGACATAACGACAATGCGTCTGCCTTCTGTGAAAGACTGCTCATCACAAAATGTAGAATCATAAACCCTTCTCTTCATAGATAAGGAAAGGCAGGCCCAGAGAGTTTTGATTGGAAATACTGCTTCCTCTCCGCCTGTCTATGCTTAGCTCTCACCGGATGCATTCTTTCTCGCCCATTCAAGTAAAAGCACACTTGTTACAACCTTCCTGATACTTGTAGCTTCTTCATCAGCCACCCGGGGATCCTACCTCTCATTCTGACAGTGCAGCCAGCTACCTGGGCCAAGTGCGGCAGGCTAGCAGGCCATCAGGGAGTCTTCTAGTGCCCTGGCCCCACACCTGAAGTCCAGATGTCCAGGGAAGAGTCTAGAAACACTGGTTGAGGGAAGATGCAGGAAGCTTCCCTTGACCGTCATGGGGCTTGGTAGAATGCAGCCATGAGGGGCACACCAAGATTGCCAAAAAATGTTTTCCGTAGGCCAGAAGCTTCCCCTTTGGGGTGTCAGGGGTGCTGCTCCTGCAGGGGGTGGGATCCAGCTCCAGC